AAACTTTAATTATAATTTAATCATAAGATTTAATTTAGTTTCCAGCACTTCATGGTTAGGACTTTGTTTCCTATTCTTCATGTCTAGTTTTTATTGTTCATGTTATTGCTTTTTATTTATTTATTTCTAGTTACGTTTTAATTGTGAATAATTTTAAAAAAGATTTTTGTGTATGAGTTAGGTATAAATAATATCTCACTTTCCTACAACCAATATTTTATTTCCCTAAATTTTAGTATCAAGCTATTTCCTCCGTTTTTTTATTCAGCCTATCAATGCCGTTTATCGATCGTCGCGCCGTAAATCACCATGCACTCTATCCAACATAAATTCGCGCTCTCGCTCAGTTGAATCTGGCACTGTAATTCCAAATACAACAACTGGCACTATAACTTTGGCTGCCTTTAGCTCTTCTAAGTCGGGCTCCATATCTCCTTCACCATCACAAACTTCCGATGACGCCGCTTCTTATTGCAGTCCAGAAACGACCATGCCCCCATATCCATCAGACAAGACTCAGAATTCTCGTATGATGCACGCTGGTAAACTTGTTCCAGAACTTACATCCGAGCCGGAAGCCTTTCAAACGGCGACAGGACCGTCTAGGAATTTGCGCTATGGCTCTGAACAAACAAATACATTGATTAGAACTAAGCCTGGAGAGTTAGAAATGTTGCCTTTATATAAGGTATGCTGCAAGCTTGGCTCAACTTTTTGATCTTATTATATGCACATACTTATCCTTACCTCTTCCATGACAGCAAGTAAAATACTTTGCCGCAAATTCTCGGGAATATGAAACCGTAAAGTTTAAGTGTAGAGGGACACAGAAATTTCTAAAGGCAGATGATATTTCAAGTAATTTTTGACGTGGCATAGTTAACTATTTTTGGTGCTCAATTTGTGATACTATTCTAAATAAACACAGAAATCCGATTGCGAATAAGCTATAGTAAAATGCGGATGCGTCAATAACAAGATTTAATAAAAATATCAAAATAATAACACGTTATTGTTAGCTTGACATTAAGTCTTGCGACGTTGTTAGACTTTCGGTTAAATTTGATGCAAACGTTTTTAAACTTGCTTTAAATAACCCTCACATAAAAATATTATCAATAAAATATAGCTCTTTCAATAAACTTTTATTTCGTGATCAAAATTTTCTATCATTCTTGTCAGATGTCGTCTAATGGAGTGTGCCTCTCACGGCTTACTTCTATTTGCTCTTTACATACTGAATCACCTTTTAAAAGCACACTTGAGCATTTAGCGGCATTGCAGTAGAAAACGGCCTTTACTTATCAGATTTCATATTTTCAGAGACTCAAAATCATATCAGAGAGGATCACAGTAGCTTTAAGTATACAAGTCGTTTTTTGTAGGGGAACAAAATTTTTCAATCCTGTGCTTCATTATTTCTACTTAAAATAGTTACCAAATACTAGTTTCGTGCTTGAAAAAATAGGACAAATTAAATATGTGCCATAGTCTCTTTTGCCAAGGTAAAAATATGCTTATACGGGGACATTTAGGTCATGCGACATTGCTTAAGTTTTGCCTAAGAGGTTCTATTCTCTGCATAAATCTTATACCAAAGAGCGGTGTTATATCAAGAGGTCGGTATGTATGTGTATACCCCGTAGTTAAGGGCACGTATTTGAGGAAAATACAGGCAAGGCGAATAGCTAGATAGGTGTACGACATCAGACCTGACTTTGTTTCCTTTTACATAGATATGCCAATGTGGGTCTATCAAAGCCTCAGAAATGCCATAAAAGGGATATGTTAGTAGTTGTCAGGGCTTAGCCTAGCAAAGATTGCAAATTAGTGGGCTATTACAAAAATAAAACAGAATATTCCAGGAATTCTACATAATTTGCATTGCAAATTAATTGTCTGCTTTGACAAGGTGCAAAAATTAGTACAGATAAAAGAAACTACCTTAGCCAAACAAGACATCAAGCAGACCCCTCAAATACTGACCCAAGGAATATAATATTAAAGGTATGAAAGATAATTGAGCTTCACCAAAAAAGTCAAAGAACTATTGTACCAACTTTATTTATCACAAAAGTTGCAGAAGCATTGTAAATTATCTATGGTTAGGTTTTTAGGGAGAGTGGGGTGATGGAAGGATGAAACAATTAAAAGGTAGTATAATCTTTCTATTCATATCCTTATATCATATTTTATTCTCCAGGTTTCAAAACTAGCCTTTTTTCAATGAAGCCTCATCACTTTAGGTCTAATTGCCTTAATTCCCATGCAAAGAATCAGATTTGATTAACAAATCGACCTACAACAAGTTGAAAATGTGTCCCAGATCATTTTTTTTCTTAATGAATCGCTAGAAATAACAAGATCGCATACGAACTTATGCGCTACTTTTTGGGAAATATATACATTTAATAAAGTTACTAATAGCATCCACTTCATTCTACTATTATGTTGGCGACTTCTAGATAAATAAACATACGTATAATTATATGGAAGAGTTAGAATACCTAAAATGAATTTAATTAATTAATTTTTTGATTAGAGATAAGTTAAAGGTTAGGATGTTAATTAAATAATCGCTCTTATCGTCGTCCATTAAAAGCAAGTATATAGAGATCTGAGTACATCGCTTTTAAATTTAGATAAATAGTTTTTAGGAGCAGGAATTTACTCTCATTAGATTTATAAGATGCAGATATAAACTGTTACTGTCTTAGTGTTAATTTAAGAATTTTACAAGAATGAGTCCCAGCTCTGATGATATCCATCATATGATAGAGGAAAGCTTGGCCTGTTTTTACCCGAACATAGAGAGGTCTCATCGACTGCCTCAATTTCAGCGCGGTATAAAAGCCAAACAGCGGCAGTATAACGGGATTCAACCGTCCTCTTCTGGTGAGACCTTCGGATCTCTTTTTCATACATTTTCATACGAAGTGAAAGTCCCAGCAATTTTAAAACGCTTCATGATATTAAGAGATTTATTGTATTTGACAGTTTGTCGTTTGTTTACTAAATATATTTGGCTTATTTTAGTTGTACAACCTCAATGAAAAAAGAGTTTAAGATCCAGAGTACTCAAAGCATAAGTAAAAAAGGTAATTCTAACAGCACTGGGGGGATGATCTCTTGAGTGTAATCTGAATATATGACTTTTGACATGTGTAGTCTGATAGTTACAGTATTCATTATCGTGAAAAACTCTAGACATCTCAGATGAACAATTCTTCTAAGTACATGAGCTATTTGTTCTTTGTTGGTTATTTTTATGAGATACCTTTTAGTATTATTTGAGATTTGCTTTATATTTAATTCAAGCACTTATCGAGGCTGATCTTGCTAATTATTGCGTGAGCGCATTTTCATGCGTGTTGGTTAAACTAATAACTGTATGCAAACTCTCTTTGGAAAACGATAAATGTGAGTCCTGGTTGGTGTCAGTTGCTACACTGAGTATAATATGGGACGTTCTCAGGTTCAGACTCGTCAGTTTTTATGTCATTTTCAATATTAGTAATGATGTAAAAAGTCTTTTCACAGTGATGCATATATTCTTTTCACTGGACTGAGTATTTAGGATATTAAAGGTGGAAAATCATTTTCATAGCTTAGCTCGTTCTCTATGCATATTTTATTGCTTTGGCTAAACAAAGATTGTCATTCCGATTTCATTTTTTGGGACCACGCTTACCTGATTTAGATTTACTTCCTTCCATGGTTTTACATTGAGGACTTATTTTTAACGAGACATCTTACTGATTATCATGAATCCCATCCACACGATCTTCTTTGCCTTTTTTTATCCTAAAGAATAAATGCTCTATTACAGTGAGGATAATTTTATACAGACAGTTTGCAGTATTGTGGCTATTAGCAATACGATTTATTTACTTAGCGCAATATGATCATTTGATTAAAATAATTTGGCGGACATAAAACTTGCCTCCATTTGAAATGTAAAATTAAATGAATTGTGATCTCTAACAGAATATACATTGTTAAAATATTCGATGATATAGAAAAGTAAGTATAAAGATAAAATTGGATACCCTTTGCCCAGCAGAACTCAAATTTTATTGTTTCTTAGAGTAGTGCTATCTTTAGTGCTTCTTAAGAAACTTCGTAATTACACACTCCGAAAGGAAAAGATTTTTTACATTAATTTTAGACGTTAGATCTACTATGTGGACAAAAAAGTATAACTAACATTCTGTTGGATGACGGATATTTTTCCGGCTAATTCTAAATGGATCTACGCTAGTTGCATATACTGAACTAATTTGGCCAAAATAGCTTTGCTGATTTTACTCGAATATGGCAAGACGTAAATCCTGGGAAAACGAAATTGGCTTTGCTGCATATGAAAATGTTCCTTTAGC